ACGGGGTGCTGCATGGAAACAAAGTGTAGGCCCAGAACCTGGAGTTTGGGTCACTCCTCTTTCCAGTCGAAACCTTTGTCCCTCCCAGATGATTCCACCCTCATGGCTCTATGGGCCAAATATCCTAAACAAAGGCCTGAACAGGGGTCTATATCCGAGTACCCAGAAAACACACACGGAAAGGCTCTGCATGCCCCCCATGGCCTGCCAGAGGTAAGAGCCTGCCCGTCAAAATGCCCAGTCCTGGTTCTTGCAGGGAGGTGAGGAGCGGAGGAAGAAAAGATCCATCTCATTCTTCATCAGAAACCTAAACTTGGGAAAGCCAGACACAGTACATTTCTTAATGATCCTGATACTTTTATAACTGGTTACAGCAGGGTCACATGCACAACTGTTTTCCAGCATCTTTCAACTGGCCACATAACATCCTGTAACTTCTTCTTTTTTTAATTTTAATTTTGTAAGGCCAGGGGCAGTGGCTCATACCTGTAATCTCAACACTTTCGGAGGCTGAGGCAGGAAGACTGCTTGAGGCCAGGAGTTCGAGACCAGTCTGGGCAACATAGCAAGACCCCATATGCAACAGAGAAAAACCCTGTCTCAAAAAATATTTTTTTGAGTATAGTGGCATGATCACAGCTCACCGTAGCCTACAACTCCTGGGTTCAAGTGATACTCCTACCTCAGCAGCTGGGACTCTCAAGAGGGCACTACCACATCTGGCTGATGTTTTAATTTTTGGTAGAGATGCGGTCTCACTACGTTGCCCAGGCTGGTCTTGAACTCCTGGCCTCAAGAGATCCTCCCAATGCGATCTCACAATGCTCTGGGGTTACAGGCATGAACCGCCATGCAGCCCCTGCAAAATCTAACTGTTCTTCAGGCGCTTCTTTTGGACCTCCTAGCTAGACTGCCATTGGCAAATACTAGTTTATTATTTTCCCACATTTATGTTAATGGTTTCCCATGTTTTATTTGTCTAGTCTAGGGTTTCTCAATAGCATCACTATTGGTGTTTTGGGCTGGATAATTCTTTGTTATGGAGCTGTTTGTGCCTCGCAGGATGTTTAGCAGCATCCCCAGCCTCCGCCTGCTACATGCCAGTAGCACTCCTCAGTGTGACAGCCAAAATGATTTCAGATATTGTCAAATATCCCCAGGGAGGCAAAATCACCTCCACTTGAGAACTGCTGACCTAAAAAACCTCTGGAACAATGTTAGATCATGGTAACGATAGCACATACTGCTCCTGACCTTAATGAGAATACCTCTGGCATCAAAGTATAGTAGCACCTGTATACTACTGTCTGGGCTGTTATTAGTACACTGTAGTAGTCCATTCTCATGCTGCTATGAAGAAATACCCATGACTGGGTAATTTATAAAGAAAAGATGTTTAAGTTGACTCAAGTTCTGCATGGCTGGGGAGGCCTCAGGAAACTTACAATTATGGCAGAAGACACCTCTTCACAGGGCAGCAGGAGAGAGGAGAACTGAGCAAAGGGGAAAGCCTGTTATAAAACCATCAGATCTCGTGAGAACTCACTCACTATCATGAGAACAGCATGAGAGAAACTGCCCCCGTGATTCAATTATCTCCACCTGGTCCCACCCTTGACACGTGGGGATTACTGCAATTCAAGGTGAGATTTGGATGGGGACACAGAGCCAAGTCATATCATATCCTTTATATTAGCATACTGTATCAAAGTATACTTTTCTTTCTTTTTCTTTTTTCTTGGGGACAGAGTCTCACTCCGGCTCTGGCTGGATTGCAGTGGCACGATGTCAGCTCATGGCAACCTCGGCCTCCCGGGTTCAAGCAATTCTTGTGCCTCAGCCTCCCGAGTAGCTGGAACAGGTGCGTGTCACCATGCCCAGCTAATTTTGATTTTGTTTTTAGTACACATGGGGTTTGACATATTGGTCAGGCTGGTGTCAAACTCCTGGCCTCAAGTGATTCTGCCACTTTGGCCTCCCAAAGTGCTGGGATTACATGCGTGAGCCACGGCACCCAGGTTGAAGTATAATTTTCACAATGTGAAAAGCTTGACTTTCATACAAATAATGAAGGAATACGTATAAGATATTTCTTTAATTTACAAGGGAGTCAGCAACACGGTGAAGCTAGTTCCAGGAGTGTTTTGAGAGACAGTGTCTATAGTGCTCCAGGAAGGGCATTCCAAAATGCATTCTGAGATAAAGACAAAACTTGTTAATATCCTAAAGGGAGGCCGGGCGTGGTGGCTCACGCCTGTAATCCCAGCACTTTGGGAGGCTGAGGCGGGCAGATCACCTGAGGTCAGGAGTTCAAGATCAGCCTGACCAACATGGTGAAACTCTGTCTCTACTAAAAATACAAAAATTAGCCAGGCGCGGCGGTGGGCGCTTGTAGTCCCAGCTACTCAGGAGGCTGAGGCAGAAGAATTGCTCAAACCCGGGAGGTGGAGGCTGCAGTGAGCCGAGATCATGCCGCTGCACTCTGGCCTGGGTGACAGAACAAGATTCTGACTCAAAAAAAAAAAAAAAATCGTATTGGGAAATAAAACTGTCCTCTTTGGGAGTTATCTTTCCTACTGGACAGAAATCTATAAGTTAACTTATATACATATTCTCCAGTATATTCATAACATATTCTCTAGTATATTTCCTTACATTAGTGGTTTTGAAACCACGGTCTCAAATTGGAAGCATCAGCGTCACCTGGGAACATAGACATGCAATGCTCAGGCCCCACCTCAGTCCTACTGAGTTAGAAACTCTGGTATGGAGCCCAGCAGCCGGTTTCACAAGCCCTGCAGGGGATTATGATGCACTCTAATATGTGAGAACCACTGCTTTAGTCAATCTTTATTTGTAAAACAAATATCGGTGAAACAATGCTGCAGTTTGACATTAAAAGGGCACGCCACCCACCTTTAAAAGTTGAACCATTCTTACTTTTTTTTTTTTTTTTAATGAGACAGAGTCTCACTCTGTTGCTCAAGCTGACTGAAATGCAGTGGTGCAATCTCAGCTCACTGCAACCTCCACCTCCCAGGTTCAAGCAATTCTTGTTCCTCAGCCTCCCAAGTAGCTGGGATTACAGGCATCCAGCACCATGCCCAGCTAATTTTTATTTATTTATTTATTTATTTAATTTATTGTAGTGACGGGTTTTGCCCTGTTGGTCAGGCTGGTCTCCAACTCCTGACCTCAGGTGATCTGCCTGCCTCGGCCTCCCAAAGTGCTAGGATTACAGGCATGAGCCACTGCACCCAGACTTTCTTTTTTTCTTTTTTCCTCTTTTTTTGAGATAGTCTCCTTCTGTTGCTCAGGCTGGATAGAGTACAGTGGTGCCATCATGGCTCACTGCAGCCACCACCTCCCATGCTCAAGAGATCCTCCCACTTCAGCCTCTTAGGTAGCTAGGAAGACACGAGTGCACCAGCACAAGCAGCTAATTTTTTTGTAGAGACTGGGGTCTCCCTATGTTGCCCAAGCTGGTCTAGAACTCCTGGGCTCAAGCGATCCGCCAGCCTTCGCCTCCCAAAGTGCTATGATTACAGGTCTTATGTTCTTAAAATTTTTCTTTGACATGGTATAGGATAGTCTAGTAACTTAACATACTGTTGCTTTCACCAGGATAGTGCTTATGATTTGTAAAAGAACTCTTCAGAAACGAGCTCAATTTTACCATGAATTGGGACACTTTCCATTTCTATTCTACAGAGCAGTTTGTCATGAGCTCTGTCTTTTGAAAACTTGAAAGCCTGCAACAATCAAACCAGCTGCACCTGGTGCATGGGATAGGCATGGAATTGAGGAGAGAGTTCAAACTACAGTCAGCCCTCTGTATCCTCGGGTTCTGGATCCTTGGATTTAACCAACTGTGCATCAAAAATACGTGGAAAAAGTAAAACAATAAAAAAACACAAAAATTTAAAAATACTTTATAACTTTTTTCCACTGTCTTTTGTAATGCCTTAATGCGGTCCTCAAACTGGCGGTTGGCGCTGGTTTTTTCCAGGGAAGCATTCTGGGAGCCGGGGGAGACGCCAGCATTTCCTCCTTGGCACCTGCAGTGGGCTGGGGTCTGCTCTCAACCTCACTCGAGCAGGCGCTGCCCTCCCAGAGGCCGTTAGTCCTAGTCACGTGATAACTCCCAAAGAGGAAGTATTTACAAAGTATTTATGTTGTATAAGGTATTATAGTAATCTAGAGATGATTTAAAGTATATGGAAGGATGTGCATAAGTTATATGCAAATACTGTGCCATATTATATCAGGAACTTGAGCATCTGTGAATTTTGGTGTCTCCTGGGTCCTGGAACCAATATCCTGAAGTTACTAAGGGATGACTGTATTCAATTTCTTCTTTGGTTATTGGTTTATTCTCTAATATATTTTTGTTGTTTTGTCTTTTTGTTTTTGCCTCTTCAAGTCAACGTTGGAAACTTAGTTGGTCTAGACTACCCATTAGCTCAAAGCTACCAGTAAGCAGACTACCACTGCAATCTAAGCAATCGATTTTTTTTCCCCATCAGATTGGCAAAAATTAAGATAAGCATCTATTGATGTTGAAGCTGTAGGGAGTTTTCCTGAGCATATTAATTATGACAGCCCTTTTTGCTAGGCACCTAGACGATTCATCAAAATGAAATAAAATACCCACGCACTTGAAGAAGTTATCTGGTTTATTATCTGGGTGCTGGTTATGTGAGGTCTACAGTTGATGAAAACTTATTAACCTTTATATTTCTAATAGGTACAATTTTCTGCATGTGTAGTATATTTCAATAGTTTTTAAAATGTCTTTTGCCACAGCCCGCAGCTGTGTATAACGCTATTCCCTTAACAGTGGAAAACAGGGCAATGACTTGAATCTCCCTGGCTCCCGGGATCCTACCCGCTTAAGTTAATGAAAATAAAAGTAAATGAAATAACTTCCACTGTCTTTCGTAACGCCTTAATTCGGTCCTCAGTTAAACTGACGGTTGGCGCTGGTTTTTTCCAGGGAAGGATTCTGGGAGATGGAGGAGGAGACTCCAGCACTTCCTCCTTGGCACCAGCAGTGGAACGCGGGGCCGCTCCCAGCCTCACTTGAGCAGCCCCCGCCCTCCCAGAGGCCTCAGTCCCAGTCACGTGATGGTCGACTCAGCTGACCCGGCCCAACCAGAAAAAGAAATTCCTGGGCCCTGGCTTCCTGGTGCGATAATGAGGCACCAGGGGTGAAGTGAGGCATGGGCTGCTGGAGCGGGAATGAGGGGGCGCCAGTGGCTCCGGAAACGGTGGGGGAGGTTGTATGCACTGGCCTCTCCGCAAACAGTGTGTGCGCGCGTGAGGGCTGCCTGTCTGGCAGAGAAAAGCCCACCGCTATCCTGCTCCCGAGTGTGGCGCTTAGACAGAGCAGGCAGGCCTGACTTAGAGTCCCCGTGCTTCCCTGGTGGAAGGAAGGGCTCCTGCCTCCCCGGGCAGGAAATGGGGCTTGTCTGGAGCTGAGAGTCCTTTCAGGTCCTTCCCAGCCCCAGGAGGGCCCCCCAAGGACACCCCGTTCCCCAGCCCTGCTGTGGGACTTGTACAACAACGTGCTTAGACTCAGGCTCCCTCTTCCACACTGTTAGGAAGCCCCTCCGCTCTTTCCAGACCCAGAAAGTAGTAGTTTTGGAGCTGAGCCTTATCCATCCATCCTTACGTTCTAAGTGCCTAGTCTATACCATAAAGTGTGCTAGGCACTGGGAGGACTTGAGTTGCCCCAGGAAGGGGAAATTGGAGGCTTGAATTGGCAGTCATAGTTAAGGCTCCGGGGCAGAGACCTAACTGCGCCTTGTGTGTAGTGCTAAGGGGGTTTCCTGAGGATGCCATCAACCTTAAAGGTGGATGGCAGGAGCTGGCTGGCTGAAGTACAGTTTGTGTACCAGGGGTTGGGAGGAAAGGGTGGGAGGTGTGCATCTTCAGACAGGGAACAGCATGTGTAGAGACTTCAGGTGAGAGAGAGCATGGCTCCCCAGGAAGGAATGCATTTCCCATAGCTGGGAGAGTATCATCTGGAGGTTAGAGAAAGATGAGGCTGGACAAGTAAAGACCAAATCTTCCTGGCTCTTGGATCACCACAATCAAGATAATGAACATTCCACCGGACCCCAAAATTTCCTTATGTGAGGGGCTATCTTAGGAAGTATGATCAAGAAGGGCTGGCCTGCCAGGGTGTAGTGACTCACGCCTGTAATCCCAGCACTTTGAGAGTGTGCAGATGACCTGAGGTCAGGAGTTTGAGATCAGCATGGCCAACGTGGTGAAACCTTGTCTTTACTAAAAATACAAAAAAGCTGGGTGTGGTGATGTATGCCTGTAGTCCCAGCTACTTGGGAGACTGAGGCAGGAGAACTGCTTGGACTCGGGAGGTGGAGGTTTCAGTGAGCCAAGATTGCGCCATTGCACTCCAGCATGGGCAGCAGAGGGAGACTCCGTCTTTAAAAAAAAAAAAAAAGAAGAAGAAGAAGTGCTAGTCTGATGAGGTGTCACTTTAGCAGAGAGTGGAATGAAATAAAGGATGGCAAGCCACACAGAGAGTGCAGCAGGCATGGCGGCGGGAGCAAGGCTGGTGTCCCTGAGCAGCAGCAGGGAAGCTGGAGTGGCTGGACTTGTGTCAGTATGGGGAAGAAGGGAGAGAGGTCACTCGTCTCTGTGAAGCCCAGGACTTTGTTTTATCCCCTACTGTACCCCCAGCACATAGAGTGGGAACTAGCACAGAGAAGGCACTCAATTGATGTTTGCTGAGCAGACGAATGCCTGGAGTAGACCTCAGAGCAGGGTTTGGTGGCAGGGTGGGTCAGGGAGAGAGTTCACTCAACAGCCTGGTGATAGGGGAGAACAAGAGGCCAGAGGGTATCCATCTATGATGGGGACCAGGGGTCCCTGCTGGGCAGCAGTGTAGGAGACACACGGATCCTGGCCACACCTCAGCCTTCCCTCCAGCCTGAGTACCTACCTCCCTCCCTTGCAGAGGTTCCGGTTCTGTGGTGATCTGGACTGTCCCGACTGGGTCCTGGCAGAGATCAGCAGCTGGCTAAGATGGTTGAGTGCACAGGGTCTGCTCTGGTGGAGGAGGGGCGTTGGGTCTGGGGATTGTGGGTATAGATGATGGTGAGGTTTCTCTGGGGTTAGGGCCTCAGTGCTCTCAGCCTGTGCTACCATGCTTTGTGACCTTAATCAGTGGCTGGCCTGCTCTGAGCCAGTCCCCAGGAAGGAGGGGTGAGGTTTGCCAGCCTGGCTGATGTAAGGACTTCCCTTCCAGTCCTCTGTGAAGTTGCAGCTGCTCTGCAGCCAGGTACTAAAGAGCTGCTGGGACGGGGGATTGATGTGAGTACAAGACCCAGCACCCCATTGTTCCATGACCTTATGACCCCCAGTGCCCTGAAGCTCTGCACTAGGGCCAGGGAGATGAGTGAATCAGCCTCTCAACCTCTCTGGGTACCTCCCTTCCTTCTTTTCAGCCTGTCTGTTCCTTATTGCAGGATCCAGGCTAGAGTTGAGGGGTTGGTGAGCAGGGGTCTGGCACCCCTTGAAGGTCTCCTTTCCTCATAGAGTGAGAAGATCCTGAAGCTGACGGCTAATGCCAAGTTTGGTGAGTACCCCGCTGAGTCCACAGGCCCCGGGCAACCCTGCGACCTCGACCTGGTGCCTGGTACAGAGGCCCCCACACCCCCCATCCCAGCAGCATCCTTAACCTACCTTCCCTAGTGGAGGAACATGAGGGAAAGAAAGACATTGACAGTCCCACCTTCCTGTTCTCTGCCAGCTCCTGGTGGAGCAGTAGCAGTGCCTGTGGCTCCAGGAGGCCTGAGGGCTTTGAGCTGAAGTTAAGAGGGCAACAGGGAGGTGGCTGGGCCCACAGTGACACCCCCTGTCCCACTCACAGGTCCCTCGGAGTCAGGCAATATGAAGGCCACAGTGGCAGTGCTGAGTTTCATCCTCTCCAGTGCGGCCAAGCACAGTGTTGATGGTGGATGCTTGTCCAGTGAACTGCAGCAGCTGGGGCTGCCCAAAGGTATGGGTTGTGGGTGGGCAGCTGGGCAGTCTGTGGGCCAAGGGCTGCTAGAGAGGGGGCCAGGCCCTGTGACCCTATGGTGTACCCTGCCCTGTCTGGGCCAGGAACCCAAGCCCAGCTCCCACCTGATACCTCCAGAGCTACTCCATTCTACCCCCAGAGCATGTGGCCAGATTGTGCCACCCTTATGAGGAGAAGCAAAGCCTCTTGCAGAAGCACTTGGGGTCTACAACCTACGCAGTAAGTATGAGCCCAGCCAGTGTCCGCGCTCATTCTAGAAGGTGCACGCAGCATGCAAAGTGCATGGAGAGTCCAGGGAGATGACAACCACAGTCACATGCCCAGCAGCCGCAGAGCTGGGATCTGGCCCTGGGTCTCCTGACTCCACGGGCTGTGCGATGTGTACATACAGGATCAGACCTCGCCCTTTTCTCCTAGCTGACCCTTTCCTAGTCCCCCATGCCCCATGGGTGAGCACCTAGCTCACTCTCTTTCCTCCCTCTCCAAAGTGTGGTCTCTTGCAGCACAAGTGGCAGAAGGGGCAGCAGAGACTATGGACCCCTCAGCTGCATCTAAGACCTCTGTGTGGTCTAGCTGTGTGTGCTGGAGGGGGGCTCTTGGCCACCAGTTCCCCCTCTGTAAATGAGACCCATACCTGTGGCATGGAGGACAGGAGGCTGGTGTGCGTGCCAAGCACTTGGAGCAGGGCCCTGAGTGAGCATGGACGTGGGAGCAGGGGTGTTCCTCGACTTTATGTACCTTAGGGATGGGAGTGGGCTACCTGTGTGGGTTGACAAGGCATTGCTTTCCCCTACCCCACCTCTGTCCCAGCCCTGCAAGTCAGTCCTTGGGGGTCTAGGAGGGAAGAAGTGCCTGGCTGTGTGACCTCGGGCTGGTACCTGGCCCTCTCTGGCTCTGAATTCCTGGGAAAGTCAGCACCCAAGGAACGCCCTCCAGTTTAGCACCTTGACAAGAAGGGTGGGGACACTGGGTTCAGGCCCACCCCTCTGGTCCAAACCCCTCGGCCCCAGCTGGAGGATGAGGAGATGCTGGGCTTGGGTGGGGGAATCTCCTCAGCTTGGCTAAAAGGCTCAAGGTGTCAAAGGCTCAGCCTGCCCCCCAGGAAGGAGCCTGGGCCCAGCCAGTCACCAGGACAAGGGCAACTATGGCGAGCAGGAGGCCCAGGATGAGGAGAACCATGGCATAGCTGGAGATGAAGGTGTCCAGCGGGCTGGAGGCTTTGGGGCCAGGAGTGCTTAGAGCAGAACAAGAAGGCTATGACCAGGCGCGGCCCCACCTCCCAGACTTCTGAGAAGGCAGAATCTGCACTCAGAAGGTGCTGCGGGACCAGAGAGTGGGGCTAGGAGCATCTTGGAGGGCTCCATGAGCAGGGGAGGCAGGCTTCAGATCAGGGCATGTGGAGGAGGCAGATGGACAGAGGGAGGAGGCCTGCAGAGGGAAGGAGGTACTGACCGAGGTCTGGGATGACCGTGTCTACCAAGAGGCCCTCTGCCTCCCCCAGGGTGTGCAGACACTGGCGCGCACAGTCCTACCTGAGGGCCCGGGCTGGTGCCAGCCTGAAGGTGGCACCCATTCTAGCGGTCAGTGGATCTGGACTGGTGGGAGAATCATCACACACTTCAGGGGCCTGCGCAACCTTGCAGGACTAGGGGAGGTCATCTCTTCCAGCCTCCTGCCCTCAACCCCAGAACCCTGGTCTGAGCCCTGGGTCACCCAGGGCCACCCCAGACCCCCTAGAATTCCTCTACCACCACTTGGTCAAAGTTCTGCAGAGGTCTGAGGATGAGGGTCAGCTGGGGGGTCAGGAGAGGATGAAGAGGGTCACAGCTCTACCAAACCAAGCCTTATTTCTTGTGGCCCCTGGCCTACTCCTCTGATGCCAACCTCCGGCTGGCCCAGCCCTGCAGAGTAGGTGCTCAAAGGCATCAGTAGCAGTTTGTCTCATGCTGGTCTCCCCCCAGGTCCCCCTCTGGAGCCCGGTACCACAGATCTCAGGGTGGGGGGTACAGCTCAGTCTCCCTTCCCCCTCATCCCCCTCACAGGGGCTTTGTCCACCAAGGCCCCTGACTGCTGGGGGACCCACACCCACGGCCTCCCTCTTTCTGACTGCTGGCCCTTCCACAGCCTGGCTACTTGAGCCCTGGGCAGAGGGGTAACGATCCCAGGACTGTCTTCGCAAGCAGAGAGGCTGCTTGGCATGAGGCCCTGACTCCTTGGGTTGAGCTCAGCAGCAGGTATGTCACCAAGGCCCCCGGGGCAGAAGGGGCTCAGTTCTGAGGGCCCATCACTTGCCACACCTGCATGTTCCTGCTAGGCATCCACCCTGGGGACCCAGCTTTCCCCCTGCCCCCAGCTGCTGGCAGCCCCATCTTGACTCATCCAGGGTCCTGGAGGCCACGCCAGGAAGCAGCCAGCAGCTGGGAGGAGCACTTGGTGTTTCTGCATGTTTTTTTATGGAGCTCCCTTGGGTGGGAGGGGCTAAAGACTCAAGGGAGACTGCAGGCCACCCCTTCCCCACTCCCTGGCTGGGTGGGCTTCCAGCTCAGGAGTCTGACTGGAAGGACGGGACCGTCCTGTCACAGAGGCAGGTCTGAGTAGTCCAGGCCCAGTTTTACCCTCCAGCGGGGCCCCTCCCATTCACTTGTCCAGCTGGCTTTGCCCAAAGCACAAGTGATGTCTATGTGGACTGTGTCCCCTGTCCCCAAAGGGAGTCTGGCTCCAGTCCTGGCCTGGAACTCAGAGACCTTAGAATTAGAGGCCACATCTGGCAAGGTGGAGCAGCATGGTCTGCCCACAGCCAGGGCAGGCCCAGACCTGACACCACGGTTCCCGTGTCCTCTCCCACTTCTGTCCTGCACATCACCTACACTACGTGCTGTCCCTAATGAATCCAAGCTGTCAGCTTCCGTCAGCTTGGCCGGGAAGTCATGCTGACCATAAGGAGAACGGTGCAGCCTGAGTTGGGGGCTAAGTGGGAACGGGCCTGGTGTGGGGTGGGGAAGGTGGGGGTGAGGCAGGTGTCTGGCGCCTCTCTGCTTATCTTCCCTTCTCCCTTGCCCACAAAGGAGGCATCTTCTCCATGTCCCTCTGCCACCCCGGGGACATAAAATACTGCCCCAGGTCTGTCTTTCCTTGGACATAGCCCACCTACCTTCCTGTGGGACTCAGGGCTTTGTTTTGTCCTGTGGCCCACATGAGAAGCAATTATCCCTGCTCTGCTCAGCTGAGAGAGGACAAACTGAGGCAAAGCAGGGGAACTGCTCTGTCATAGTCTGCCTGTTAATGGCAGAGTCAAGACCAGCCCTTCCCTGATTGTCAGGTCCAGTGGACACCAAGCGTGAAGGCTGTATTAGCCCATTTTGCGTTGCACCAGAGGAACGCCTAAAATTGGTTTATTTATTTATTTTTGAGACAAAGTCTAGCTGTGTCGCCCAGGCTGGAGTACAGTGGCACGATCTCAGGTCACTGCAACCTCCGCCTCCTGGGTTCAGGCTATTCTCCTGCCTCAGCCTCCCAAGTAGCTGGAATTATAGCCATGCACCACCATGACTGGCTAATTTTTTGTATCTTTAGTAGAGAGAGATTTGAGATGGAGTTTCGTTCTTGTGACCCAGGCTAGAGTGCAATGGTGTGATCTTGGCTCACTCCAACCTCTGCCTTCCAGGTTCAAGCAATTTTCATGCCTCAGCCTCCCAAGTAGCTTGGATTACAGGCATACACCTCCATGCCTGACTAATTTTGTATTTTTAGTAGAGACAGGGTTTCACCAGATTGGCCAGGCTAGTCTTGAACTCCTGACCTTAAGTGATTCACTCACCTCGGCCTGCCAAAATGCTGGGATTACAGGCGTGAGCACCACTCCTGGCCCTGAGACTGGGTAATTTATAAAAGAGGTCTTTGCCTCACAGTTCTGCAGGCTGTACAAGCATCTGCTAGGCTTCTGGTGAAGCCTCAGGAAGCTTTTATTCCTGGCGGGAGGCAAAGAGGGAGCAGGCGTGTTGCATGGTGAGAGAAGAAGCAAGAGACGGGAGGCATCAGGCTCTTTTAAACAACCAGCTCTCCTGTGAACTGATAGAAAACTCACTCATTGAGTCACTTGAACCCAGGAGGTGAAGGTTCCTGTGAGCCGAGATCATGCCACTGCACTCCAGCCTGAGCTGTGAGTGAGACACTGTCTCAAAAAAAAAAAAAAAAAAAAAAAAAAAAGAAAAAGAAAAAAGAAGAAAACTCACTCATTACCATGGGGAGGGCACTAATCCATTCATGAGGGATCCCCCACCATGACCCAAACACCTCACACTGTAGGCCCCACCTCCAGCATTGGGGATCACATTTCAACATGAGATGTGGATGGGACAAGTATCCAAACTATGTCAGAGGCCTCCCCCTCCCTCTCATCAGAGTCTTCTGTCCTCAGTTCAGGTGCATGCTGGCCTCCATGCCTGGCTTCCTAGGAAGTCATCTTGGCCCCAAGGGGTTGGGCAGGGCCACTAGGCTGAGGGTTGGAGCCCTATCTCTCGTGGTCCCAGCCTGGGTCTCCATCACTGACTTTGCTTGTTGCGTTCTCTCCACACCTGCTCCCTGCCGCCCAGGGGTCAGTCTGGGTGCAGGCCTGGGTATAGGTCCAGGAGCAGATTCTGCCCCCCAGCTCATACCTCCTGTGCACCATGGCAGCCAAAATGCACCAGCATGGCCAGGAGTGCTGCCTTGTCCCTGTAATCCCAGTGTTTTGGGAGGCTGAGGTGGAAAGCACTTGAGACCAGCCTGGGCAACATAGCGAGACCCTGTCTCTACAAAAAATAAAACTACATGGTGGCGTGCACCTATAGTCCCAGCTGCTCAGGAGGCTGAGGTGGGAAGATTGCATGAACCCAGGAGGTCAAGGCTGCAGTGAGCTATGATTGAGCCACCACACTCCAGCCTGGGCCACAGAGCAAGACCCCATCTCTAAAACAAGAAGCAAGGTGCACCAGCGTGTGGATACCAGCTTCTCCTGGTGTGTGGACCTGACCTCACTACTCGGCCCCATCGGTGAGTGGGAGACTGCCTCCTGTCTTTCAGAACGTTCCCGACACTACACCTGTGTCCCTCCTGCATTCTCTGGTGGGCTTTGTGAGAGGGCCTGTCACCTACCTCTCTGGCTGCCCTAAGACCCAGCTCAAACCTTCCCTGTCCCTGAGAACCTTTTCCTGAAGAGTTTTTCCCTGAGCCACAGGCCCCCTCATTTCAGAGCTTTGGGTGGGGTGAGTACAAGGATCAACTCTCTGCTACCAGCCTGGGAGGAATTGTCCCTAGGGTTGGGTCTCTGGATGGCATATGAGGATCTACACCAGGACCCAGATGCCTGTAACCTGAAGGGCAGGCCCTTGGCCACCCCGGCTTCACAGATCCCCTCGTCTAGCCTGACCTTCCGGGACAGGCCTGACCCCTGCATCCTTTGATCTTGGTCCCTACTGGGAACTCTGGTTACCCTGGCTTACCTACTTTGACTCCAGAGGTAATGCTGACATTCCCCATGAGACAGAGTTACAACTGAGACTAAAGTAGGGGTACCTGGCTCAGGGTAACCATGGCCATGCAGAGCTCAGATCATGGCCCTGTTCAACCTCTGCCTCCTGAGTTCAAGTGATTCTCCTGCCTCAGACTCCTGAGTAGCTGGGACTACAGGCGCATGCCGCTACGCCTGGCTAATTTTTTGTAGTTTTAGTAGAGATGGGGTTTCACCGTGTTAGCTAGGATGGTCTCGATCTCCTGATCTCGTGATCCACCCGTCTCAGCCTTTCAGTGCTGAGATTACAGGTGTGAGCCACCGTGCCCGACTTCCCCAGCATCCTTCTAGCTCTGGTGCCCTGCAGGGTCTACCTTGGAGCACCTGGAGCCCAAGAAGCTGCCCTTCACATTTGTGATCCCAGGGATCCCCTTCCTGATCATGATGAAGGCGGACCCAAACCCGCTGAGGTGCCTGAAGGAGCAAGGGTCAGCCTCTGCCTCCTCCGGCCTCTCTGATGGGGAGGATGTTATCCCAGCAGTGTGAGCTGGGAGCAGAATCAGGAGGATGGGGGTTTTCTCTGTGGGTAGCTCTGGGCTCCAGGGTGGATCCCTCTTAACCTGGCCCTTCCCCTGTGGCTCTCCTTGGCCCCAGGCAAAGAAAGGGACAGAGTGGGACCTGGGTGCTTTCTTACCCAGCTGCAGTTCCCCCTCCCCCCTGCCCCTTTCCCAAGGTGATAGAGAACCTGGCGGGCAGGCTGTGCCCCATAGAAGAGTTCCATTTCCTTCTGGTGAGGGATGGGAACCAGCTTGGGGCAGGAGGGATGAGGGTTCTGGGGGCTCTCCCAGCCCTGCCTCATATTTGAAGGATGCCGTCTGGGCGGCAGCATGGTTTAGGTTAGACAAGGCGGCCCCTAGGTTTATAGCCTGGCCTCGGGCAGGATGCTGCCATGCCACCTTTTCTTCTGCACGTCCTGACCTGGCACCCTACCTAGTTAAAGGTCCTCAGGCCTCCTGCCCCCTGGGCATTGCCGCCACTCCCTGCCCAGGCACAGCTGTTCTTGTCCTGGACTAATCTTCAGAGATTCTTGTCCAGCCCACAGCTTTGCTGGACATCACAGGCTGGGCCAGGCCCCCTGCCCAGCACTAACATCTCTTTGTGAGTCTCAACCAGACTGAGCCGCAGCTTCAGGGTCAGGGTAGGTGCTGACTTAATTGATGTGACCCAGGACAAGGGGGTTTATTGATGGTGTCACATCTGCTTAAGTTTTTGGCCTGTATTATCTCATTAGGGCACGATACCCCTCTGTCCCATGCTTAGGTGCCCACCTGTGGCCACAGTGCCTTTCCTACCTCCATCCCTACTTGAGGCTGGTGTCCAGGCACCTGTGGCTCCAGGCAGAAGGCTGAGTGCAGAGCCAGGCCTGGGCAGATGTTCCACAGGGGCTGCAGGAGCTGACAGCCCTGACCACCCAGGCCGTGGC